ATCTGTTCCTTATTAGAAATAGTTTGTAAACCCATCCTTCTCTTTGTAATAAAGAAAAAAGCGTGTATCTCCACTCATTAATAAGGGAGAAGTGCTGTTAAATTGGTAAAAACTGACAGGGAAAGGGAAAAATAAACACCCTAGTGTTGTGTGTGTGTGTGTGTGTGTGTGTGTGTGTGTGTGTGTGTGTTTGTGTGTGTGTGTGTGTGTATAATAGTGGGCCACTTAGCTAAGACTAAAATATAGAAAGTGGGCTTCCAGGGAATTTGAAACTAAAAGGTCATAGAGAATAGACTACACAAAACCTTCTCCAGACAGAAAAGCTCTCCATACACTTAAAAGAAAGAAAAGAAATTGGGTAAATATTTCTTAGGCTGAATTTCTTTTCCTAGATACTGCCTAATCCATGGACAGAGTTCTTGAAGTCATCTTTACTCAAGGATTTTTCTAAAGAAAGCCATGGTAAAATTACAAATTATGATACGGTTATGGGTATACTTTATTATAAGATAATTGCATCTTATAATACATTAGAAAAACTTGTCTTCGTGACATGTGTGCAAAATTTTAAACCCTGTAAGAGTTTAGTAAAATGCAAAAATTAACATTTATTTAGGTTGTTGATCAGCTTTTTAGAAAGAATGGGATATTTAATAAGTAAAGGAGATAGAGGGCATATGGGTGAAGGAAAGTAAGAGCACACATGTTGCAATGTTTCTGATATGTTTTGGCTATCTTGCTAACTCTAGTTGTCTGAAGAACAGAGAAAAGTACAGTGGGATACAAGCCTGGAAAAGCATATTTAGATCAAATTAAGAAGGCTTTTGAATATGAATCTATCTGGATTTTATGATGCAGACATTAATGAGTCACTGAAAGTATTAGAGGATGAAGGAGACAAGTTCTGATATTTTTTGATACATGAAGCAAACTCAACCAAGAATGTGTAGGTTGAATCCAGTGACTTTCGATAGAGAAGAATTTAAAATGTCTCTAACTAAAGCAGTTACAACGGAAAAGGATAAAGTTAAGAACCAGATTGAACTCGGGCAGAGAGAGCTAGAGATGAGATAATTTTAGTGTTTCTAGATTAAGAAGATATTTTTCTAATGTATTATGAAATATTATTATGGTATAAAATCTACTTATAATAGTTTTATAATTTGTAATTTTTTGTGGCTTTCTTTAATTGAGGCTTTACTTAGAAAAATTTCTGTATGAAGATAGAATTGTAAACCGTGTCCATGGCTTAGCAAGTTTATAAGAAAACAAATCCGAGACAAAAGGTGGAAGACAGAACTCAGATTTTGAGAAGAGAGAATATATTAATTTTGACATCATGTATTGAATGTACAATATTTGTAACTGTCCTCCCATAGCCCTCAAGCAGATCTCTGTCTTAGCATGTGAGATAGGCATTGAAGTCATCTACTTATCTGTCTCCTTCCTCTATTTGATAGGCATGCCTTATAACGGACAACGTCACCTTCTTTTTATTATTATTATCCTCAAAGTCCCTATGATAGCTCCCTCATGTAGGAGGCACTGAGTGTTTGTTGAACTGAATTGAAATTTAAAAGTACTCAGATCCGTATCTTAGGTCACAAGATAAAGTAGGAAATACCAGGTTTACAAGTCCTTTTGGAAATGAGATCCAAAGACATACACACAATTTTAAAATTGTGTTTGAATTTTATCATCAAAAACAAACTCAAAAATCAATACTTTTAAGGACTTATTGGGTGCTCAACACTGAGTTAGAATTTTATGTTGTTAAAATCTTCATGAAAGTTTTGAGATATTACTCTTCACATTTAACAAAAAGGAAACTGAGGTTGAGAGAAGTTGTTTTTTTTCCCCCCCAAAGGAACAGAGTGAGTCAGCAAATAGTAGAACTAGAAGGAATACTCTCTTCTGTCCATGAAGCCAATGCTCTCAACCACTATAATACATCATTCTGAAAACTAACTTGAGAATTAAAAAAAAATACTGGAACAAAAAAATTTTTAAAACTAATTTTTTATCAGATAAAAAGAACATTGTCACAACTTCTTTCTTTATTTTTGGTCTCCATTCTCTTTTTTCTGAATCTTGGGTTCAGAATGTGCTAGATGTGTCTTATCCAAAGTTACCTGTATGAAGTTGTAAGTTTCTAAGTTTGGGCAGAAGAATAATATCTAATCAAAGTAAGCCACCAAACAGGAAGGCCAGAAACAAATGGGCTTTAGGGACAATTTCTTTGTTGCTGAGTCAAACAGTATTTAGAACATTTAAAGCCAATAATTATTGGATTGGCATGTTCACCATGGACTGATTCTAGAAAAACATACCCAAAGTTCCAGTTTTTATGTATGTGATCACATTAGTACGGGTCAGTCAATTCCATTTAATGATACTAGACAAGATATAAAACTAGAAACCTTATTCTTCTATGTCCCTAGAAAGGCAAAATTGGAATTTTCCTAATCAATACATTTTATCAACATATTTCTGCAAAGATTGTCCAATATTCAAATAGAAAAAGGCCAATCAGAGAATTACACACAACACAGAGTAGCACAAACTTTTCTAAACTATTCCTATCTCATTCCTAACCTGCCCTATACTAGTCAATACCAGAATCATATTATCACAGGGGAAAGTCCTATCAAATTAGTATTATTAATTTATTGTTTGTAGTTTGGATTGTCTTAATTTGTAAATAAATTTTAGCTAATATTTGTATAAAGGTCAAAAGCTTCAGGAGTTTTTTCCTAGTATTTTAATTGCTTGTAAAAATTGATGTTATTTAAAACAATTTGATTTATAAAATGGAAGTCTGTGATTTTACCTTTTTTAAAGGTCTGTACGTTGTTCAAGCTTGAGAAACACTTTTCTAGAGGAATCTTATGACTAGGGCAAAAAAATATCTTTGTTAAGACTAGAGATGGTCCAGGAAGAAAGGGATTAGAAAGGTAGGCAGTGGTCACCTAGGGTGACTGCATTTGGATGACAGCAATTTTGGCAGCCATGAAGCGCCACACTTTTGCTTCTCACTGGCACTCCTGTCAGGAAGTCAGAGGCTTGTTGGATGCTAGTCAAAAGTTGTGAACTATTTTGGGAAAGCCAGCTTGTCAGGAAATCAGAATATGAGGTTCCAGATTTACTGTTCAGGCTTATTTAGATTATAAGGGATGTTTCTATGCTTCTTGGTTTGAGAACACGTTTCTCAAAACAGGTTTCCTTTTTAGAATTATGGAAGTGGGTGGTGGATGAAGTTTTTCTTGATATTTTAATTGATATTTTAATAATAAAGCATGTAGCATGGATACAAGATGCAAATGAACATAACTAAATAGATTATTATTTAGGAACATCAGTTATGTTGAGTAGCATTTAATTGATCAATAAGAAAAGACTAAATCTGAAATAATTCTTCTTAGTTTGACAGTTCCAAGTGGAATTATTAAACAAATAAGGCAATATACACAATAATATATCCATTCTTGTCATTCATTCAGAGGCATTACATATGTTGACAAACCATTATAGATTTTGGTGCTACTTCTACACAAATATGTTGAGTCTTCTGTTGTTCATGCAGTTTTTACTTAGCTCGTTGTTGATGTGAATAATCATTTTATCATTTGACTTGTTTTCAATTACTGATGTTATCAAGGTGTCACAATTATAAGTATGTGTGATTATATTTTCATAACCATCCATTACTTTGGCATCGCCCTTGTTAAGAACAGATTTACAGCCGGGCTGGGTGGCTCAGCCTGGAATCCTGCACCTTTGGGAAGCTGAGGTGAGGGAATTGCCTGAGCCCGCGGTTCAAGACCCGCCAGGGCAGGCGAGACCTCATCTCTACAATAAATCCAAAAATCAGCCGGGCGTGGTAGTGTGCGCCTGTAATTCCGGTTACTCGGAAGGCTGAGGCGGAAGGATCACTGGAGCCCAGCAGGCCGGGAGCAGCCACTGCTCTCCAGTGTGGGCGACAGAGTGAGACTCCAACTCAAAAAAAAAAAAAAAAAAAAAAGAACAGATTTACAAATGGCCTTCTCAAGCCTCCATATGGACAGCTTCAATTCTTGGCTTGCATTTTTCTGCATAGATATCAATGACAAATGGACATGCCTTAGCCTTTCTGCTATCACCTACGATGTGCTGCAAGCAGTGCCTCTGCCTTTCTATCCAACTCGGTCCCCTGCTTCTCTATGCTCCAGCTGCACTCACTTTAAAGAGTTGTTCACAGTGCCCATAATTCATTGTGGTATGCCCCTGAATATGTAAGTCTTTGGTTGACAGGGGATTTTTTTTTCTTTCAGAAAGTTTCTATGACTGCAATATTTCTCTACATGTAATCACGTCTTCAACAAGAGGTCAAGTAGTTGACAAAATTCTCTTGTAGATTCGCACATTATGTCAGTACTGGTGTTTGGCTCTCAGGCCCTTTGTGAGCATAACACCTATTTCGGAAGGCCAGTGATTTAAAAAAAAAAAAAAAAAAAACCTTTAAAAAATGTATTTGAATATGTATACATTGCATTTTCTATCTATTTTTTTCCACATATATATGGGACCTGGCCAGGAAGTCATAACTGAATACAGTCCAGAGAGAGAGAGTTTCAAGCAAGTGAATAGTCTTCAGAATGACATCCAATCATTTTCCCTGTACCTGGAGCCTGGTAGGAAGCCCTGTGGGACTGGGTCAGGTATACAGGTATTCCTTTCTCAGTCAGAAAGCAAGTGCCGGAACTGGATTGGCAGTTGGTTTTCAAGTCTACTGAAAATTTTTTATCCCAAATATCATAAAACTGATGTAGTCCCCAGACTGCTGTTTAAGAGTTGATGTATAAAAGCAAAGCAGTCAATGAGAACCAGAAAAATAACTCTCTTCTCTTTTTGACTGGTTAGTTCCACTCAAAAGGCCAGAACAACTATAAATGCTTAAGAACGTTAGTTTTTCTTTGCTAGTTAAACATTTACCAGTGAGATTTAATAAGCAGACTGTGTTAACTATGCATGTAAGTATTAAAACTTTATTAGTGATATGCGATAAAAGGCATCACATATGGATATAAATAGTAAGGAAATGTTAAAAGCACAAATATTAACATACGCATAAAATGCTATCAAATCCTAAAAAGAACATGGATGCATGAAGGCAGAAGGCGTTCAGAAACACTTGGTATATATGGTCAGCATTCTTCCAACCATCATTTGTTCCTTCTTTTGTAACTGTGGATCATAAAATTAATAAATACAAAATGTGAGTCATCTTCATGTGCTTATGGGCTAAATGCTGGGAGTGAGGGCAGTCTAAATTACATAATATATCACCTTTTCCTTCAAAAAACTTGTAATCTAGACAGCGAGACAGAGCAAACACAGTATCAAATAATACAAGCATTAAATAAATCCTAAGAGGAAGGCAGGGGAAAGAGAGAAAGAGGGCTTCCTTATGGTACTGAAATGGCAGATGATATAAGATGAGGAGGGCCAGTGATTTTTAAGTGGAAAAATCACATAAAACATTCTGTGGAATGAGAATGAATAATTTGTATTGAATGATAATGAAGAGAGCAATCTAAATGGACAGAAAACTATATTTAATGGATGGACAGCAAGAAAAATCTGGAATAGATAGAAGACTAACTATATAATAAAGACAAATTTAAGCCAGATAGATGAAGCTAAATTTATATAGAAAAAGAATGTACCCATTAAAGGTTTTTTGGCTTGTCTTTAATTTTAATTTTTCTATAAATGAGGACAGATGTATACATTATTTGATTACAAATAGCTAATGTAATTAGCTTTTTAATGTAATTAGGATTACAAACCCTAATGTAATGAATACATAGAAGTAAGATAGTGATTTTAAAAGGTCATATATAATTTATGTTACATATGACTCTGCCTCTATCTCCGTCAGTCTATCTCTATCACTATAAAATGTTTTACTTGACTTATATCAGATACCTAATTTTTATTATGTGTAATATATGCATATGGTATATTTGATTTATATATGAGCTGTATGCTATCTATCTGTCTGTTTCATGTCTACACAGCCTAGTTTGCCCATATTAGTTTATGCTTACTTTGAGCAGTTATCTTGTCCTAATATATACGACATTTACAAATTAAAATATTTTAAAATATAGAACTATTTCTGTAGAGCCATTAAAACAGCAATTCCAATCCTCTGTCAATGCATAGATATTTAAAATAGATGAATAGGCCATGTTTTCTTAAGCTTTGGCCCCCTCCCCTCCCTTGAAGAGGTGAATCCCCTCTTTATCTCTGTCTAATTTACTTTCAAATAAACTATATTTTCCAATATAAAAATAGATATATAACTTATTTATTTTTAGCATCCTATTTCACTCTCATTAGTGTCACAGTTTGGGTGACACGATTGTTTAGGTAATCTAAACATGAAGGGTTGATCATCTGAACAAAACCAATGGGACTGAAAATGGAAGAGACAGAAATGGACATTTCATTGGGAAAAACTACGGAATTTAAGGAATGACTAAAAGAAGAGAAATGATCAAAGGAAATTACTATGTTCAAACCGGAATAATCAGAAAAACAATGGCAGAATCCTCCAAGTTTGGAAAGTTGAAAATGTTGGAAAGATAAAGAAATGTTACACAATTAAACATCTTTTAGCTTTGAAGTCCCATGATACTTCTCTACACAAATAATCTTAACTTATTCTCAATAAATACATTTGAATTTTTTTGAGTTTCCATGTACATGTTCATTTGGTCCAAGTATGGATTCATTTTTAAAGGTAAGTCATATTTTGAGACTGTATGTTTACTGACGCATTTAATTGCAATAATTAGAGATTTCATGAGTGTCTGAAATGCTAATTTCTTCTGCAAATGGGAACTTACAAAGAGTTCTTTTACAGATGAAAAACTAAGGTCAGTGTATTGTTAAAAGTTAAACGTATTGTTCTGAATCGCATGGAGAGTAATAAGTAACCCCACACACTGCACTGAGTAGGAAGCAGGCGATATTCTAAGAATGCGATGTATGTCTGTTGACAGACTGAACCTTGCAACAAAACATATCCGATTATTATTATTATTATTATTTTTTTTTATTTATTATTATTTTTTTTTTGAGTTGGAGTCTCACTCTGTCGCCCAGACTGGAGTGCAGTGGCCGCTCCCGGCCACCGCAGCCTCGACCTGCTGGGCTCCGGCGATCCTTCCGCCTCAGCCTTCCGAGTAGCTGGAATTACAGGCATGCGCTACCATGCCCGGCTGATTTTTTTTTTGATTTATTATAGAGATGAGGTCTCGCTGCCCAGGCGGGTCTCGAACCCGCGGGCTCAGGCAATCCACTCACCTCAGCCTCCCAAAGGCGCGGGATTACAGGCTGAGCCACCGAGCCCGGCTCCGATTATTATTATAGTATCACCATCTTCATTTTTCAGTAGAAAGATGGGACTCAGGTTTAAAAATACTTCAGGGGTCAGGATTTTTATCTGCTATATCATTCTGCCCAATCAGAGGAGAAAACCAAGAGGAACCAATTCTGAAGATTATGCAAAAAATTGCACAGATTTAAAGAAATTGATTTAGAATAGTTTCTTTTACATGTGTAGTAAGAATATGAAGAAATCCTCTTAATCCAGACCATCAAACTCAAATAATGCTCTCTCACTTTTCTCAAGGATAGGCATATATATGATTTTAAAAAAATATATCTTTAAGGAAGAGTAAGGCTCAATCTCTGAGAATATCTAAATAACCTGCAAATATTGATATATGGAAATAAAAAGAGAAAAAAATTAAACCTCAATTGTGCTTAATAAATTTCAAGTGTCCTGAGTCAAGAGAGTTCACTGTAAAAAAAATTACAAAACTGATTTATAATAGTCTAAAAATTAAGAATAATAGCAATGAAAAATTTACCAAGCCAATTTCTAGTAACATTTAATAAAACTTCTAAAATGCTTTTCTAATATCATGATTCATGAAGGAAAACATTAAAATTATACTTAAAAATATTCCTCTTAATAATAAATGATAACTGAATTTTAAAATTTTCAAATAATCTACCTGAAGATTGTTATTTAATGAAAATGATTTTAGAAGAATGTTATTCCATTTATGTTGTGTGGCAAATTACTATTCCCACATACTGAACTTAAACCTTAAAGGATCTACATATCTTCAAAATAACCTGATACAGAGAGCTTTAAATATTTGAAAAAAACCCTTTAACAACAGGATTTTACATAAAATAATAATTGTACTTTCTTAAAGTACAATAGAATCTATTAATATAATTGCAAGTAGTGACAGATTTAATTAGATTTGTGCTAGCCAATCAAGATGTATCTTTGTAGATTTCAGCAAACTCCTTTGATGAAGAGGGCAAGGGAATATCTAGGTTTTAGATAGAGGGACATCTGCATTCCCACCTCTGTCATCTTGAATGGGGTAGATCAGAAATCACGTATGCTTTAGCAAGAATGGAGAAATAGCTTCATTGACAACCTTTATATTCATGCTATACTTAGTATCAAACTTCTCATATCAGGAGAGTTACAGAACAAAGAAAAAAATAGAATGCATTATGCTCCTAACAAAAGAGGAAAAAGGGTCTAATTAGCTAGGTAAATGTATATTTTGAGGCAAATATATACAATCAAAAATAAAATTGCTTTGTGGACAAATAAAGGAGACATTTGCCCTAATTTTATGTGAAGTTACTACAAAATTAATATGCCTAAGATGTCTACTATTTGAAAAAATATTTATTAATATTGTTTTCTTTTAAATTCTTGTTGTCATTCCTTACTGCTTCCTTAGTTGATAATTTACTCTTATAACCATCTAATTATTTATTATAATTTTCAATGTGCATCTATATAAGAACCTAGAGACGACATATATCACAGAATATTTAAAACTTATAAATATTACTTTTTCACAGTTTGTCCTTTTATTTTTTCCTTTCTAACTTGGTAGTATGTTTGTCAAAAATCATGAATTTTATACTTTATAAAAGTTCCTTCACAGCAAAACCATTCCCCAACCTACTCTATTCATTTTACTAACTAATGACTAAAGAACTCTACTTGAGTGGGTAAAATAGTTCAAACTAAAAAATATTGAAGCATATTGAAAACTGATTTCATACATTTATTTGTTGATATATTGTATCTCATGTATCTTTAACCCTGCTAATCATTTTGTTATTCTAAGCTTTCTCTCACAGCAATGAAATTTAACAATCTTTTGAACATATGATGTTTAACTCAATAAGACAAAATATCATTGAGAAACATAACACTGGAAAGACAAAGAAACAATGCAATGAAATCACTTAATTGTACAGATAAAAAGTCAGAAACACAAAGATAACAATTACTATGAATTAGACTCAAATTCATCTGGCATTGAACTCGTTACTATAATTGTAGAACTTAAGTACCCGAAGACATTTTTAGTATGCCACATTGTCCAACTCCCACTGAAAGTTTGCATTCCCCTTATGACATCATGAGCGCTACTATAACATGCTTGAATACACACAGTTTAGGTAAGCTACTAATCCCTGAGACAGCCATCTATTTTTAAAGATCTCACATCAAAAATAAACATTTTACAGAAAGATGTGTGTACTTTGGTTCTCACACATTAAGCCTCATGCTTATTCTGTATTGGAGGAGTAAGGGAAGGTGGGATATAAAGAGGGTCTGAAAAGGGTGGAGCTGGAATGTGAGAAGGGAAACTTCATTCTCCTTCCACACAACAGTGTTTCAAGGACTGAAAGCGCACATTATACTTCCTCTTAGAACTCATGCCTTTTTACACTTCCCAGTTCCTCTTGTAAGTGTGTTTCAAATGCTCTGTGACTTCTAAGTTGTGGAACTCAGTGCTAAAGCAAGTCCCACAGGTAAATAGGCCAGTGTGTAACTAAGTTGGACATTCACAGCTTTCATTCTTGGTAATCACAGTCAACATCTGCAGAGCTTGAAATCCATCTGGGCAAAAGTTGTATTTGCTTTCTGTTATCTTGCTTATTTGTCTGTTTGTTTTAAAGAGGAGTCGTTCAAAGACATTCTGATTCATGACCAGGAAGAAGAACTCCTGGCTCAAACACTGTGTATGCGTGCCTTTGTGTGTTCTAAAGTTACCTATCTTAATAGCTACAGAATGACTTATGTAAATTCATACCAAGTTTGCATTTGACACATTTGCATAAGCAAATCTTCCATTTCTGAGAGAGCACATGTGATTTTTACAATTTAGCTAGGCCCTTATACTTTCACACTGTTGATTTTTAGCCTTTTAGGTTGTTTCTAACCGCCCAGATATTTGTGATCTATGGTTATGTTTTCATATTTTCACAACACTGCATTTTTGTGGAAGTATTTCCTATATGTTTGTTTAAATCTGATAAATATGTTAACAGAGTTGAACCCAGAAAGAGCCCTGCAGAATAAGTTGAAAAGAAAATTTCCTGCAGAGTGACTTACCATTTGGGTAGGGATATTCAACCAGTTTCTAACCCACCCTGTGACTAACACCAGACACCTTGTTCAGGGCCATGCTGATTTAAAAGCACTTGATACTGCCTTTGACATGCTGCTGCCAGTTCAATGATTTATTATCATCCACTGGGGCTGATAATTCTGAGTAGTAGTTCACAAGATAAATTTGGCATAGACTTCAATATCATATGAAGGTTTTTCCTGTGATTGTAATCAAAAGCCTACTCCAAAGCATACTTTAAAATAGATTAGGAAAATTGTCACTTTTATGGGATAAAATGTCTTAAACAGTTTTAATCTCAGTATTTGAACATACCTATAATTAACAAAATAGGCATATGTATGCATATATATAGATAGATACACACATATATATTTAAAGGCATACTTCTAATACATAATCCACTTCTATTGTTATCACAAACATATTTTCCTGGAGGTAATGAAAACAATGAGATTCTTACCAAAAATTCTGGAATCCTTGGTAGGTTTGGGAATCAAAACAATATTTACAACATTGGACTGAGTTTTATAATCATTCACCTGGGAATCATTCCCTGGGGGGGAAAAACAGTTAATTAAAATGCAAGAACATTGTCACAATTTCATATTTGTACACATGAAACCTAACAGAGCAGTTAAGAAAAGTCTTCTAGTAATTTTATTTCCATTGCTATGTTAAATTAGCAAACAGTAAATCTTTAAATAAATATATTATAAGGTAATATTTCCATGAGTAACTTTGCAGTTCTTGGTCAAAAACTTAACAGTTAATGTGTCACCCCATTAATAAATATTATGGGCAAATAAAACTGATTTTAGGTGGTGGTTTTAAAATTACTATTTTCCCTCAAATAGTCCTAAGTGTAAAGGATTTCAGCAATTCTACTGTGCCAAATTATACTGCGATATTCTCAGGGAGAAAAATTAAGTAATATAACATAAAATGCAAGATTTATGAAAACAATTTCTACTATAGTTACATTTCTTAATTCTTTGCATTTTTCTTTTGAACAGCAATGAATCGCTTTCAGATCTAATAAATACAAATATGTATCTTCATTGATATAGCTAAAACAAAACCTGGGTAAACATTAACATCTTCTAAGATGCCCGAGTTTTTACTGAAGTTCTGTAAATGAACTAAAATGAGATGAGAAATAAACTTACATGCATTCTCACAGATGATCTTGCAGACTTTCAGTGATTCAAAGTTGTTTCGATTTCCTAGGCATCCTCCATACTTAAACTCCTCACACTTTTGTGACTGATTATTATAAAAATATCTGCTAAAATAACCTCGACAGATTCCAGGATCTTCTTCCAAAAAGCAGAAATCTGGCTTTCCTAAAAATTATTTTAAAATGTGATAAAGCAATATCTTCTTGTTGTTTATTAGTTCTTTTAATTAAATTTATAAATAACTGGCTATGTTTTTTAAGGAATAAGCATAAAAAATTAAGGATAAGAGGTAACAGTATAACGTTATCCACAAGTATATAATATTAAAATTATCTACCATATCTAGGGTGTTATCTAGAATAAGGAAGATACAACACACATATCTTTGGAACTGGCATTTCCAAGTTCTAAATTTCTAATAATAAATTAATAGTAAATTAATTTTTTCATAAATTGAAGGAATAAGAGATCATTTTACTAAGTACCACTATTGTCTGAAAGTACAAAATATTATTAATTATACATTATAATTTAATTATTTTATTACATTTATATGTAGTAACATTTAGGAGAGATCTATGAATGATTCATGTTATTGAGGTGTAGAGTATCAAAACAGTGTAGTGTTCTGTTTCATTAAAAATGGTTTACATTTTTTAAAGTTGGGAAAGTAGATTTGAGGGCTACAGAGGCTTTCATGGCTATACTTAGAAGTTGCTGAACTCTTATGATGGAAATAATATCTGTACTAGGTAGGACATTCTCTACTCCTGTGTCTCTTTTTTCTTCTTCTTCTTCCTGGCATTGGAATGACTTCAATAATGCAGACGTAGAAAGGAAATACATGTACAGGGATTGAGAGGCTTTTGCAAATGTCTAATACCCCTTCTTTGATAGGGCTCCAAACCAGGCTAAATGCAGCTGTCACAAAGGTTGTGCCACTGTCATCAGTTCTGTCTCCATGCATACTATGTAAATAGAATTGAGCTAATTTTCAAAATTATACTCACAAGGCATATTGGGGTTGAATTTTTAAGGATAAAAGTCCAATTTCTCATTTTTTTCTTCCTGCAACTATATTACCACAGTGGCAAAAATGAATTTTCTAATGCTTTTACATCTTAAAGCAACTTGTTCTATGTCAAAGAAGCAATGTCCCCAAGTATTTTACTATAAAAAGAGCATGTATTTATTAATGTTACTGATTTTTAAAGCAGTTATATATCTGGAAAAGAACCAATATCACATAAAAGTTATTTATTAAGGAAAATTTCCTTATATAATATAGTTTTAGAAGTCAAATTTCTGTAATTTCTCAACATACCAATTTGAGAGTTGACTTTGTTTTTTGTTTATTGCCTGTAGTTTTTCAAAATGAATGTTATTGTGATTCCCAAAATGAATGTTACCATGATTCTCATATTGCTTCTTGCTTTTCAAAGTGAGTGTTTTTATGATTTGTAGCCAAGTGTAATATATGGGGAAAGAAAAAAATATTTAATTTTCATAAGGTAAAAAATGCAATTAATTACTATTATTTTGATTTAATTTAGTTTTAGTATGTACTTTTTATAAAATTTTAAATTATCTTAGCAGAGTATGAGATTTTGTGTTTAACATAAGTGAGTGGGTGAAAAATATTGCATATAAAGAAGAGAAAATAATATCATAAGTTATGTTGATAATTATAATTAAGAAACTGAAGAACTGAAAGTTGTTATTATTCATATGATGCCCCAATAGAGCTCATTTATTTACTTTAAGACAAACTTGAAAATACACAAATGTAAAATAATTGTTTTTAGATCTACGGCTACAAATCAAGAAACTAATTTATCATATTCCTAAGATGAATAAAGTAACATTCTTATTGAACTTACATATACAACCCTTGCTCTAAATTGGTGCTCAGCTAAAATTGAGGAACACAGAATGCACACTTGAAGTTACGGACCATTCCTAAGCCACAGACTTTTTACTGTCTACTTGTGTTTGGACCTGCATACTTGGGAATTGTCATAGAACAAATTTTCTTTCAAAGGGATTGTAATAAATCTCCACTCTATAACTTTTCCGATACTAGGAAACACATCACAAACTTAACTTCAAATTGATAGATGTCTTTGTTATAGATTTTTAACTCTTATGTGAATAGGGTTTTATACCCTAACTTTCATGTATAATATAAATTAAGAATGATTTAATTCTTAATGATCAAATTTGTATATATATATTTGTTTTGTATCAAGTATATTTTTATAGTATAATCTTACATTTACAAGCATATAACTTTTCTCTAATTCTCTGTTTTTGGAGTAATGTCCTACTATTTAAAGGTTGGCATTTTCTTTCATAAAAACATCTTTTACCTGGTGGATAAAAAACCCTTTTATAAATATTCTGTTTTTTAAATATTACAAATAATGAAGTGTTAATTTAAGTACTTAACATTTTTGCCAGTACTAATTCAACATTTGTAGTAAACTGTTTAACTATAAATAAATACATATATTTATTTACGTTTCTATAAATTTTGCCATTACACTTATTTTATACATTTTGATTAAACTTCTGGTCAGTAAATTAAGCTTGAAGATTATCAGTGAGTCACAAAGATTTTCCACTATTTCACATACAAAATAAGTAAAATTAAATTGCACTTTGAACTTTGTGCTCTTTCATATCCTGAGTTAAATATTTTCATCTCTGTTTTCAGTATTTTCACATTAATGTAAATGCCATAAGTGATAATGGTACCAAATCAATTTCTAAACCTTTATTAAAAGAAGACTGGTTAAAAAAAAAAAAAAAGAAGACTAGTTTTCTTGATCTGTTGATCACATTATGTGTGTGTGCTTATATAGTATCTTCACCAATAAGCAATTATTTTTAGTTAAAAGCAACAAATAAAATAATTTAAATCACAAAATTTTACATGTGCACATACACACTAAATAATGCTGACAAAGGCAATTATTTATTGTTATATAGCTCTACTTACTTTTGCATCCAGAACTCAGCGACATACACACATACTGAGATTAACAAATGATTAGAGATCAGGGAATTAAGGTAAGGGTAGAAATATCCAAATCTCTATCTGGAAGATGTTAAAAGACATGATGGCTTTGGATTGTGAATTAACTAAAACTAAATGTCATGCTGCTTTAGAATGACAGTAAATATGGTGTCTGGGACCTCTCCTACCAAATATCACATATTTTTTTTCCTAATTTTTCATTATATCCACCAAAACAAAACCCCATTTCAAAGATCATATAAATGAATGATCCAGTTCATATCAAAGAAACTTAAGACTTGAATATCTAAATGCCTTATATAAATGCCATTAATTTACACACAAATAAATGTTCACCTTTGCTCAACATCGCCTTTGTAAACTTCTCTGGATAATCTGCAAAAAAAAAACAACGATATATGTGTATCAACTGCCAGAATTTATAATGTAATACTATGAATTTGAATTTAACAAACAAGTTAGAATAATGTATTTTTTACCATTAAAAGTATTTTTATACAGAATGTCAATAGAAATTAAATTTTATTTTCTCTAAAAATTTTTCTATTTATTGCAACCATGAAACAACTCATTTTAATATGGTAATATTTTAAAAACTATAAAGCCGGGCTCGGTGGCTCAGCCTGTAATCTCGCGCCTTTGGGAGGCTGAGGTGAG